ATTCCAATGCTCCTTAGGACATGGGAGTCCTAACGCTTTGCAACTTAAGTGTTTAAGTGGTCTATGCCATGCTAACTATTTAGTTCTGTCATATTGATATGAGACACTGATAAGTATGTAAATAAAACTCGAGGTAGAAACTATACCTAATAATTTTTATATTCCCATTTCTTTTCTGTAAATGTTCAACATATGTTTGATTAACTTGAATTTGTTATTTAATGTGATAATTTTAGCACTTCCAAGCTAATCATATTATTTTAGATAAAACAGCTCCAGTACCTATGTCACTGGACTGATATTTAAAACATACTAAAAAAATTCTATGATTTTCAAGTATTTTCTTGAGACTAATATTTTCAACTCAGAGTAAATAGGGCTCTCATGGGATCTCTCACAAAATGCTGCTGAGTGACTTGTCAATGGCACAGAGAATGCCCCAGTGGACACCAAGACCCGAGAAGCTGAGTATGGAGGCAGGTGGATGCAGGCCTGGTAGGAAGATTCCTTTTTCTGTGACTACTTCGTCCTTCCCACTGCAGCAACTAAGTACACTTGACTCTTTTGGGATGTTTTATGGGAGCACAGCTGTTTAATTATATGCATTAAACCAGCCTTCACTCTTCTGTTATTCCTTCCAACTTTTTCTTTTTTTTTTAACAGTTAAAGACGAATGGGACAAAACGAGTGCAGGTTTATATATTATGTTTACAAACAAAAACTCATACAGAAGAGTCTATGTGCTTAAGACGATGAGAACAACTTCTGGGGCTCCAGGCTGGAGCACACCCTCCCCTCAGTGTGCTGAGGAATCACTCTCCACTTTAACTACTTCTCTGTTTGTTAAACTTATTAATTGCATTTGATACTCAGTCTGTGTCAGTGGCCATTACTCATTAACTTCTCTGCTCAAACCTATGTGTCAAAGTTTTACTATGATAGTGAAGAACTCCACCGAATCTATGCAAGAGATCACAAGGATAGACTCTGCTTGAGCTGAATGCAATCCTCAGCTATGTCTTTAATAGGGGGAGCAGTAGAGGAAAAACCAAGAAAAATCTGTGAGGAAGGAAAGTTTGGAAAACACAAGTAGCAAACATTAGGAAAAACTTCCTACAACTTTGCCAATTATACATCAATAAAGCTGGGGTGAGGGGGAATACTTTGACCCTGGAACTCAACCAACATGTTATGACTTCAAGGGTATAAAATCATTGATAACATTTCTGAAGAAAGTGTGAAGATGGAGAGGTCCGCATTTATCTTCTATGACTACAAAATCTTGAATTTTTGTCAAATTAAACTCATGGAAAAAATAGAAGCTTTTGGTGAGCAGATAAAATACAAGACAATATGTTTAATACTCTTTCTGAAATGAAGGCATCTTGGTGATAAAGTCCTGGGTGGACAAAAATAGCAGTGGCTGTCCAGGTTGGTAGTGGCAACAGGTGACAGTGGCAATAGGTGACAGTGTAAATGCACTGGGTATGGATACTGAGCATTTAGAAGGGAGGGCGCCTCAATCAAGTAGAAGGGACAAAGACAAACTATTTAACCATTATAAGCAGAGTCACCCTGCCTGTGAAGAGGACTATCAGAGGGAGAAACAGTTCAGAATGCTGTGATATTCATTAAACTGTAAGAGTACTAGATAGGTTATTTGAAACCAAAACAATCTTATCATCTAACTTACACCCATTAATTGTTTTATCTGCATAATCAGAAAAAGATTCACACATGGCTCTAAGATAAGTAAGAAGAGAATTAACACCCAGGACTCCGTAGTGTGATAAACCAAGCTCTTAGCCAAGAAAGCAGAGTGGATCTCTAATTGTAATCCTTAAATTGCTCTTCTCAATGGCGTGTTTTGACTTGTGACTTTGGTAAGCATCTCAAGTGTTTTCAGGGCTTTACTCTGTGTGTCAAATGGGGCAAAAGCTTAAGATTTCACTAGAAGTTTAGTAATGTTTAACACTAAAGCAGCGCCCAGGAGGCCTGAGGATACTAACATATTATACTGGCTTAATCAAGTTCTAGAAATCCAGTTTCTTCTACTTCACAGGCTAAGACAGACATGGATAGAGAGACAGATTAACAGACTCATAGATAGAAGAGGTAAATAATCTGGTGGTTAAGACATAAGTGGTCTTCTATTAGGCTGCTTGCACTGTGAATTCCAGCTCTACTGCTTCCTTGCTATGTAAACGTTGTGCCAAGATACTGAACCTCTCCTGCCCTCCTCACCTACAAAATGGAGATTCTAGAATCTACTTCACAGGGTAGTTGTGAGTTTTAAATTAGATAATGCATACATACACCGTGTTTAAAATAGTATCATGTAAACAGTGAGTGCTCATTGAAAGTTAATTATATATTTAAATCTTTTTATGGGATGAAAGGCAGTACTACATTACATTTCTCTATTCATGGTCTTTAGGGCAAGTAAGCCCCCTTTTATGGCACAGAATCTCTCCCAGAAAGTCCTAAATTGATCCAATCCCAAGGCCTTCCAGCCTTCCTTAGAAGAAATCATTGCCTCCAGTGATAGAGGGCAAGGGGCTCCCTGTATACTTAGTGTTCCCGATTCTCCAAGCTTTGCTTACTCTCTTAGCTTAGAAGAAAAGCCATGGAATTGTCTCTTGATCACTACTTCAGGTTCTTTTACATTTATATTTTTAATAAAATAATGAAAATATTTTTTGTCAATTCTCCAATCATTTACCTATTTTGTCTCTTGTGGTTTTATTTCAAAATCATGTAGATTTTAGCCTTGATTGTTTGTCTTTAGGGTTTCAGCCTCCCAGAATAAATTTTGGTCCTCTCTGGTGCTATTCATCTTAAATAATGCCCATGCTCTTGCCTTTTAATGTATCCTTAGAACTGAAATGTTATAATTTACAAGTGGATGTCATATTAGGCATAATAAGCAGATTATCCTCAAAAATTTTATAGAATTAGGTCTATAATAATTGGAAGGTTGCCTTTTTGTCTTTAAACACCCAGAAAATGATTCTATTTTTGAGGATTTCTAAAGAAGGAGCTTTCTAAGTCTCCACTGGTGGCAGGTTTATCGTGGTTTAAGGCCCATCTGACAATGATTTTCAGAGGAATGAGAAAAACGCTGAGAATCAGGCACTGGTGTAGTCACAGGTCCCTCCAAACCTCAATCCCCAGATATTACAGGAGCCGGGAGGTGGAAGACAAGGTGAGGGTGGGAGGTGGGGCACCTATTCTTAAATGACCACTCTAACTGAAACCAACTGGATAATTTAAGAAGAAAGTCTCACTATTTTTGGACATGAATTGTTTAGACTTGCTGTCACTATTGAGCAGACTTTTATAATTTCATAATATTCCTTGAACTATTCAAGAATCACTGATTTTTTTTTTTCCCTAGCATTTTAAAAATAACAGCATCTGCTAAAGTTAACTCCACTGAAACCAACTGGATAATTTAAGAAGAAAGTCTCACTATTTTTGGACATGAATTGTTTAGACTTGCTGTCACTATTGAGCAGACTTTTATAATTTCATAATATTCCTTGAACTATTCAAGAATCACTGATTTTTTTTTTTCCCTAGCATTTTAAAAGTACAGCATCTGGCTAAGTTAACTCCAAAAGTTCCTGACAAAGGTTTATAGTTACTGCTGAGTAATGTGACATCAGTCGATATTAAATCATACCGACCTGACTAAACCCTTTTGGATTGCATAGTGTGGCAGAGATCGTTGGCTTTCCACTGAAATCCACTGTTTCCTTAGGAACACAGCTAGGCTATACATTTCTCAGACTCTCTCGTAGGTAGGTGAGCCATGAGATTAAATTCTACACTGGGACGTGAGCAGAAGTGAGGTCTACCATTACTGGGTAGGGATTTTAAAAGAGCAGCTCTGTTTCTTCGGGGTTCTTTTTCTCTTTCTATTGGAAAGAAGGAGTCCACCAATGCCACAGTGACCTTGAAAAGTCCATGTTGAAGACAGTAAAGCTTCTGCCAACCTCATTTTCCAAATGACTACATATGCCACTTTGACACAAGAATTACTTTGAGTTTAAAGCACTTAAAGAACAGCAAATGCAAGAAAGCCACTCCGACCTCTCCATTTTCTTCATGAAAGCAGGAGCTAAAACTCTAATGTGAAAGATGCCCTACCTCTACCAGGAGGAAAAAAACATTCTTATCACCAGAGATTGGAGTCAAGGCTGAGAGAAATCTATACAAATAGACCTGATTAAAATAAAATAACTCCTATCTTCCTTTAATCTCGCTGTACATTTAAGTTACTTTCCCACAATTGCTTCTCTTTATTCACCCTAGTTTACAAACACTTAGGCCTACCCACTTCTTTGAGTCTTTATTTTCCCCTCGAGGTGTTCCCACGTATATGTAAAAGTCTGTATGCTTTTCTCCTGTCAACCTATCTCATGCCAACTTAATCCTCAGGCCCAGCCAGAGACCCTGAGAGAGTAAAGGTAAAGTCTAGCTGTCCCCATAGCATATCCCAACTACTATATCTGCCTTCTTTTAAAATTACACAATCTGTGAGGTCAACCAAAGTTTGCCTCACCTAAAATAATAATAATAATAATAAATAAAAATAAAAATAAAAATAAAATTACATGCTTTTACTAAAATCACATGGGAGTAGAGATACTTGAATTTCATTTTGTACTTTTCACTTTGTCAAAGGTGCTTTCACATGTGTTACTGCTTTGGACTCTCACAGCAACCTTTGAAAAACAGTAACTCTGAAAACATACATAAATTTTTTAAAAATAGTATTGCAGTAAGATAACAAGTCACAATTTAAAATAATAGAAATAAATGTGATTCAAACTTTTAATATTATGAGATAGAAAATTCTATAGAGCCATTAGAAAAACATAAAAATTAAAGTTTCAATTTAAAAGTTGAGTTGATGATAAATCGACTCTGAAGGTTTACTTTTGTGGCCAAAATTACTAAGAAGAAATCATTATTAACATAATTAGTGCTCTTACCTGCCATAGATGACATATTGATAACGATGCCACCTTCACCTCCATTTTGCTTACTCATGTAATCCAGACCCAGGTAGGTTCCACTGATAACAGACACCTAATCCAGAGGCATAAACGGGAAAAGTAACACAGCCATTAGACTTTGTCATATAATCACACACTGATGTTTTTATTTCTAGCCCAGATACTTAGAGAGATTTCTGCAAATATTAGGCCTATAAAAGGATCTTAAGTGGTTCTTTATTTTTATTTTTTTAAGCTAGTCATTGGACCTAGATTCTCTTTTGTTTGTCTAAAATTGTGGAGTTTATCACATTTCTGCAAAACTTTACTTCATTTAGTTGCCCAATCGAGATTTTTTTTTTTTGATAAAGATGGTATCCCAGTGGTGTTTTGTGAACTTTAACTCAATTTTCAGCATCTTCAAGAATTCGATATATTCCTTTTCTTTTCTAAATATTGGATTGAAAACTTATTTACCCTTTTTAGAAGCACATGGTTCCCATGTCTGGGGAATCCACATTTATCTGCTCTGCTCTTGTTGAATTCTCTATGATCTTTCAATGCATAGTAGTGGAAACCCGTAATTTCCTACACAGTTTTTACTTGCTTTTTTCCCCCTAATAAAAACTCTATTTTGCATTTACATCTACATCTTCACCATGTAATACAGAGGAAAGTGATCCCCCAGCTTTATTATAGACACTTATTATTCTAATTCAGTCATAGAAATCTCATTCTCCTGCCAATGACTGGTCCAGCATGTGACCCATTTCTGGACAATGAGACTTAAGGAGCAGTTAGCTAGGGGTGGGGTCTGGGTTGGGGAGGGGTGCTGGAAGAGCAAGCTGATGAAAAAATTTTCATTACTCTTAGGAAAACCAGAAAGAAATCATTACATGACTCCTTTTTCATTGCTTTGTATGGATGCACTGGCTGGAGCAAACTGATATATATTGCTAGCATCCTTACGATGAAGCCAGCATGGAAGATGGCAGGTGGGAGAGATGAAAAAGGACTGAGTCCTGATGATATCACTGAGCCGTAGTATCAAGCAGTCCTGACACAGCGGTCCTGTTGTGTGAGTTCACATCATCGTCTCACCCAGTTTGAGTGGAAGATTTGCTGTTACTTGGACACATGGTCTTTGGTAATGTCTGTCATTTAATTTTGTTCATCACTGCTTGCGACTCTCCTTTTGATGATTTACTATGTTTCACTATTCATCTCCATATGTAGCCACCTTTTCTGTTTTATTTTGACATTAAAGAATTTACCACCCCCCAAAACAACGTGTGATATAAAATTTATATTTGAAACCCTGTTTTTCCCTTTTAGATTTAAGAACTCCTTTCCCTTCCAACTCAGACTTCTAAACGTGCAAATCTTCTTTTGACATCTTAATACCTACTTTTTTCATTCTTTACAATATTGCAAAGAAAACGAAACAATAGATAATGAGTGTGGAACTGAGAGCACCTATTAGTGTTTACCTTCTTTTTATTTTAAAAAGTCCTTTGGAAATTTTCTTGACAGGTGTTCAGAGTTGCCTCTCTACCTAATAGGAATTCTGGAACGAACAAGTAAATTGAAGATTCTATTCACTTAAGCCATGTGTCAGTTTGATATTAAGTAGGCTTAGGGAGAATGAGTAAAATCTCTACATGATTCCCCTTAAAATAGAAACACAAAACATTAATGGTTCATATAAGTAAAAAAATATATAGATGGCTGAAATTACTGAAGTCAGTGAGATGCTGTTAGTTTCTGCCCAGATCTCCAGCATGTCCGAACAGAATTTCTATTTACACATATTGGCGCTATGCTTTTATTCTCAGGTATTTACAGTTTTGCTGACACCCCACATTTGTGTTTTCAACATCTACAAGATGCAGCTAGATAGAAAGTTTGGGAATCTGTAAGCTTAATTTTTAATTTTTTTTTTAAAGCAAAATTTATTTCCAAGTCTTTTCACTAAAGCATTCCAGAACTTAAAACTACTCTCATAAATTCCCCTATACTGGTAATAATTCCCCAGTAATAAAGATAAATGGACAAATGGTAAGAACTTACTTGTTTAACTCTTCTTATCAGACATCATGTCTCACTACAACATTTTTACATACATATGGATGTATGTTCCTACGACATATAATGTGTGTGTGTGTGTGTGTGTGTGTGTGTGTGTGTGTGTGTGTGTGTTTGCTGCAGAGATTTTCTAATCTGGCATTTCCCTTATCTCCCTCTACTCTGGGGTTACTTTTAATTTATTTATGATTCTCATGCCACACTAACTTTTTTTTAAATTCTGTCATTTAAATCATGAAACTTTGCCTTTTAGTTTCTTGTCTTTTCTCCAACCAAGTTCTCAAGGAATATGCTAATAAACATGACCATTTTCTTTTCCAAAATCCTTTTACCTCTTTCATTTTTTATGTTCAGTCTTTTTCCATTTATGCTTGTTTAGAGGATAAATATTGTCTTTGCCCTTGCAGAAGCCACTTATAATCTAGCAAATTCTGCCTAACTACAATAGTTCAACTGGATCTTTAGATACGATAGAGTAACAATAACAAAAAATAGTCACTAATTTAATTTGTAATCAACATCTTGGGAGCCAAGAAAAGGGAGCACATGTGACAATAATGTTTCTATTCATTTCTTCAACTCTTCATTTAGAGGTACAGTAGGGCAGAGGAACCAACCTCACACAGAAACGAGATCATGCGAATGAAGAAAATGTAGGTTTTTATACTCAGGACGAGAAATGCAATCTATTGAGTGAATACTATGTAGTAACGATTTTCTGGAAGCTTCATACAAATTATGGTTTATTTAAGCTTAACCATTGTTAGAGGTTATCTTCATCTTTTCACAAACAGAGAAATTCAAGATCAGAGAAATATAATAAAAGTTCATGAATTCTAAATTCAGGACTAAAATCTAGTTTTGACTAATTCTAAATGCATACCTTTCCAAATTCAAATCTTCAGCCATCTCTTGGATTTCTGGGGGGGAAAATCACCAACAATAGCCATCTACTTTATTTATTTATTTATTTATTTATTTATTTATTTATTTATTTATTTATTAAGTTTACTAAGACATTCTATATATGTTAATTATACGTTCAAATTAGATTATAAATGCTACTTGGGTGGGGATGAATTATTTAGGTTTATTAAAGCTTCAAAATGTAAAATAAGTACATTACAAAATGTCCTTATCAATAGTTGAAGTTCAATCTACCTCTGCCCAGTTGCCAGAGTAACCTTTGATAGTTCTACAAAGACTTCTTACTAAGCATTCCTAGTGAGCTCTGAGCAGCTACAACAAAGGTCACTGGGTTGGTTTCAGATTAAAGAGGAAGTACAGAATGACTTAATACAAACAAAAGACTGGGAAGAGGTTTACAATCTCTTGTGTGAGAGGAGTGGTAAGATTGAAGAATAAGGAAGAGATAAGTTTGGTAAAAAATAAAAGGAGAAGGACAGATAATAATGTTTGACAATACCGATGTATTAGGAAATCATCTAAATATTGTATTAAAACACAAAATTGAATATCCATGTATGTAAAATATCATAGAATGTCAGTTTATTCGTCCAATAAATTTTAACTGAACATCTACTCTGTACACACAACAATAATTTTCTGCCTTGAAAGAGCTTATAGCATACTACTATAAATTACACTTGTATAAAAACAATTCTAAAAAAATAATAATTCCAATAAAATTTTAAAACTGATACATCCTGTAAGAATGGTATAACTATGTTGTTTGAGATTTCAGAAGAGGAAGAGATATGTAATGAGGTCCTTTAACTACGTGACTACTTTCTGACATAGACAGGAACATGAAAACATGTGCCAAAGAACACACAGAATTGTATGAGGAGGCCAATTACATTCAGAGTGGAGTCTAAAAAAAAATATTATATAAACCATACACAAATATTTGCAATATACATATAGAGATAATCAAGTTGGAAAGACAATGATTGGCCGTACTCTAATCTACTCTGGCAATGGACATCCTAGGCAAGAGGGGAAGTAACATGTTTTTAAGTTACAAACATGGGTAGCAAAGGTTAAATCTTGTTCTATGTAAAATTAAGTAAATGTCATTAGTCCCTGGAGTTAATTAAGCTAAGGAGTCACCTATGTCAGCAGAGTCCAAATTAAAATAAAAGCCAGCTAAATTTCAATGAGGAGGGGTCCACGAGAGTGAATTATAACCAAAGGGATCAAATAAAATTCCCCTGGTCTTTTAGAATTTTCTATGTTCAGATAATGTAGGAACTTCCCAGCTTTGAGCAGGTGTTTATTCGCCTGGGCTACATTCAGACAAACATGTTCTCTTAGTTGGATGAAGACGGATAATTTGAATCCTATTACCTTTGTGATAATGTTTCACAATTCACTATTTGCTTGTTCCTTATAGTAACTCTAATTATTGCACACTGTTTTCTGACATCTGATTTCTCAGAGGAAAGACCCAGTAGGTATCCATTATGAGTGCACTGGATAGAGAAACTTTAAATGCTAGTGACCTTTATCTATAAATATAACCTTTAACTGTAGATATGTATTACTGATGAAACTATTAAAAATATCAGTAGTGATGCTAAAGAGAGAAATTTGCCGCACGATTTGTGCTTTTTCACTAGGATAGACTGACTTTAAAAAGTCCTGTCGCTATGTGATTTTAGAGAGTGGAATAAGTTTATAAAAGCATTCTTAAAAATTTCTGAAGCTCCCAGTTGGTTGTATATTCATTTTTTATTTTATTTGGCAATGAAAATATGTAATGAAACATGGTTCGCAATGAGTCCGGGTAACCACCAAAGATTAAATATATAATATGCACAGTTTTTTGTACTAGCAGAAGAAAATTAAAGCTATCTAATGGAATTTAAGGAACAGAAAAATAACAAAAACAAAAAGAAAAACAGTAAATATAAAACATGAAGTGGGAGAAATAAATCCTAATGGAAGAGTGAAAATAAATATAAGTGGCTTAAATTCACAAATATAAAAAGCAAATGTTCCCAGATGTGATTTTAAAAAATAAGATCTTATCCTATACTGTCAGCAAGAGAAAAATTTAACATAAAAGATTATTTACATTTTCAAAATAACCTAATAGAAAAATATATCCTAGGTAAACATGAACCAAGAGAAAACACAGGTATTGATTTTATATATGGAAATACAGAATGAATCAAAACATCATGGGTTGCAAATGGGGATACAACTTAAAAAAATCAAAGATCAGTAAATTATAATCAGCAGCAGTTTGTGCTCCAAACATTATTGGTTTATAATAGAGTCCAAACTGACAGACTTACTGAAATGGTAGGCAAATTAACTCTTGTCATTTGAGATATGATCACATTCTGTTCAAAAACTGATGGATTAAGGAGATAAAAGTCCGCAAAGGAAAAGTCAAACTTAATAGGAATATTATTAAAAAAAAAAAGAAGCTACTCTTATTTATAATAGAGATACAAATATAAAATTAAATTAGGTATAACTAAGCAAATTCAATGGTGTATTAAACATTGATATACCATGTTAAAGTATATTTAGCCAAGAAAAGTAAGTATGGTTCACAGTTGGAAAATATTTCATTTTATTTCACGTACATTACTAGCCTAAGTAGAAGAAAATTATAGAACTGTCTTTTTTTTTAAATGCCAGTTAATTTTTTAAATTTTTTTATACTATGTATACATAATTTTTTTTAACATTTTATTTTTTTATTTTCCCCCTCTAGAACTGTCTTAACTCAGGCAAAGCAGCTGTCAGCTTTCTCTAAACACACACACACACACACACACACACACACACACACACACCTCAGAAAGACTGTGAGGGAAACTTATCGAATAGATTTTAAAGTTATCTTGAAACATACTGATATCCAGGAACACTTGAGACAAGTTTTGAAAAGAACCACAAGCAGGGTATGTGTACTTTAAAATAGTACTTTTTGTTTTCAGTTAAGGGATTTTAGGCATCTATCAAGTTTGAGGGCAACTTTGTACCTTTATGAAAATGGTGCTTACAGATTCAGCTCTTTTGTGAGCTAGTATACTTTTCATTACTCCCATCAATTTATTATACTCCTGGGAATGTCAATTCAAGTCAAACATTTATTGACTAAGCACTATCTTCAAGATATTATGCTTATAACCGAGAGGGGAACAAGAATGAACATAACACAGTTCTTGCTTTTAAGGAGTTTATAATCTCCTAGGAGGATATCATGAAGTAAAGGGCCACTTCCTATATGTTTATTCACACACAGTGGTCCCTCTGTACTTCACCCATGCCTGCTTTCCAAGTGAGAATGATCTCACCCAGGAAAGGGTGACCCTATGCACAGCTCAACTGGGACATTTTGCTTCAGCCAAGGTTTGGGTTTTACTAAACTGCAATATCTTATGTCAAGTGTATTTATAAAATGGAACAGCCAAGAGACTTGTGATAAAATGGATAAAATGGAAATTTTATTTTCTAATTCTATATTTTATAATTTAAGTAAGAGCTAAACAGTCATCAAACATTGTGGAAATGACACACACACACACATACACACATGTGCATACAAACATATGCACCGATTTTCAAGATAAAAAGCTTAATCACTACAAAGTCCAAAAGTCATTGTAGCCTTGTTTTTTGTTATATTCCTGGAATTAAATTAAGATTTATTTTTTAAATAAATAAGTTAAGACGGGGTTGGCAAATGTTTTTTCGGTAGGCAGGATGGTAAATATTTCATGCATTGCACATCATAGGGTCTTTGTCACAATTATTCAGTTTTGCTGTTGTAGCATGAAAGTAGCCAGAGACAATGTTTAAATGAATGACTACAGTTGTTATCTTTTTTTTCAATCATTGAAAAATCTAAAACCTACTTTTAGCTTGTTGGTGGCAGGCTTGTTTGGCCTGTGGGACATAGTTTGCCAACTCCTAAGTTATGTAATAAACTATGTTCTTTTTCATATTTCCTTTTAATATTTTAAGATAGATTTATTTTCATAATTAAAAGTCTCAAAGTTCTTCCTATTTGTAAAAGGAAATGCTTTTTTTCTAGTTTTCTGTAACTTCTCTTTTTCTATGTCATTGTATTGTTTCCATGAATATAAGAACAGTTTTTCCTTTAAAAAACATCACATTATTAAAGAATTTTAGGCCATGAACTAATTTGATAGCTTACCAAATTAATTTGCAGCATTTTTTCCCAGTTTTTCTCATTATTCACTCCAGCATTATTGACCAATATGTCCAGTCTTCCAAAGTAGTCTACAGCTTTTCTGAAAGTGCCTTAATTAAAAAAAGAGACATTATAGATATATCATTACTCTTCATATATACGTTTAAATCATATCCCATGCCATGAAATAAATTTTCATTTATTCATTCTGATAGTGAAAATTACACTCTTAGACAATGACTTAATGACTTGCTCCTCAAAGCATGGTGTGTGGCAATCAGCGTTACCTGGGAACTTGTTACAAAGGCAGAATCTGTGGCCAACGCAGACCTTCTGAACCAGAATCTCAACTTCAGTAATATCCGTAGATGATTTGTATGCACGTTAAAGCTCTACAAGCAGTAATTTAATGGAATAAATTTTAAAGAACTGTACCTCCTAAGCTAAGAGTTCTTGGAAGTCAGTTGGGCACCCAGCATCTCTCTGTCCCTAAGAATTATCGAAGTTCTGTGACTTAGACTATGACAAATATCCTCTTTTTAATATCATATTATCCTCATAAAGCATCGTATTAAACACAAGTCTTCTTGGGTATTCAGAGCTATTATGATCATTTCAGGGAGTTCTGATATCCTAGTAAGTAAAATCAATTTTTTATTTAGTTGATTTGATTTGATTACTGTAACTTCAATAAAAGTTACTATTGCATTCTTTCTTCTGTCTCACTATTATTACTACTTTGTATTACTATTTCTTAGAAAAACTATGTTCGACCAAGGAAGTTTGCATACGTTCTATGCAAAAGTCACTCATTCCATTGCCCAACCACAAATCCAGCCCTTGGAAATCCTCCTAAGCCAATTCCTACTAGGCTTCACTACGTTTACATTGAAAAACACACTATTTCTCAAAGTTGACTTTTACATGGTTTTACTGATTGAAACTGTTTCCGTGGGCCTTTTACCATTGGTTCTAGTTTTATCACTTTAGACTACAGATAACAATAGTGGTTGCTCTTTCAAATGACCGATATGTGTTCTCCGGCCTTGGGACCAACATGCGAGTTCCCTGAAAAAAGTATATCTGCACAAACTTTACTTTGATTCAAATAAAATTACAGAATTATTAATAACAACCGGACATATCGAGAAGGGCATGGATTAATCAATTTCCAAATAGATAAATTATTAAGCAAGTTGTCAAAAATAGTGCCAAGATTTTTTAATACATGTCTTTTATGGTGCCCTTTACCATACCGGAATGGAAAACAACAAAATAAAAACTATTTAATTTTCCATGGAATTTTTAAAATGAAGATCTCACATTGATTCCAGAAAAGGTCCTCCAGTAGAAAATACCTAAGGAATACCATTTTCTTTTCTTTTTTTTTCCATCCTAAGAATGTTCTACTCTTCAGAACACCACATCTATCTTATAGGAAATTAGGTTGTAAATATGTGGGTTTAATTGCTTCTTTAATTTTCTTTCCTCATTTTGGTCTCCACTGCATTGCTGATATTCTTCCCTTATCAATGTATAATACACCATCTTCTTTCTGACATACCACTGAATTCTAGGCCCTTACAATCCAGCTCTTGCTGACATTTATATGCTGTGGTAATCTTTATAATTTACCTAAACTCTCTGTGCCGCTTTTTTTTTTTATTTGAAAAATGAGTTATGTCTTGGTCATCTCCAAGAACGTTCTCACCTCTATATTTTTATGATTTCAATGAAGTCTCCCTTGGCCATGGTCTAAACTGCTTGGTCAAAAGTTATAGGCAGCATTGAATCCTGAAATTGTAAGAGTCAATGCCACATTTTCCTTAAGTGCAAATAAGTGCTGATGTCCAGGCAGCATGTGAGTTTCTCATGACCACACACATTCTCCTGGTCACTCATTATGTGTCTGAGTTTCTTTCTCCACAAATGTTTATCCTTAAGGAATGTGTTTACAGCCAAAGTATTAATTTTAAATACAGAAAAGCAAAACAATTAATGTGAAATGTCACATGTGGAACTACATAAAATCAGACAGCAATAGCTTCCAGATGATCTATACTGTTTCTTATTCCAACAGCATGGATGTTTAAGATCTGACTCCAAAATATGTGCAATCAATGAACTTTATCCTCTGGCAAAATATGTTCCACCAGCGCAGTGTCTACAGATCTCTCCTACTCGTGCTTATAATCCATATCATAGCTCTGTATTAGCGTTTCCAGATTCTAATTACATATCTTCTTTTAAAACAATTTTCCTTAACTGTAGGGGGACTCTCCGTTCGAACATGCCACTCCATTTTCAGTCTCTTACAGAATATCCCAACATTTTCAAAGAAAGTCACATTTCAGTGTTCCTTTAAGACCAGGAGTACCAGAGCGACTTTTATGGAAGTTTTTCTGTTCCCTTGATTAAAGATGTGCCTAACAACTACTAAGTCTTTCAATACAACTTCATTAGCTACAAATATTTTATTCTTCTATTTTTCCTAGAAAAAAAATGAATTTTTTCATGTAAATCTATTGGGCCTCTCTATATGACCAAATCTGTTTATTGTCTACACCAATATTGTCCCTGATATTTCACAAGTAGATTGTTCTATTTTAAGTGAGTAGACGGAAACAGGAAAGCATTGAGGAAAGTCTGATGGAAACTTTTCCTCTGCCATTCTAACACTGCAGTACAGCTACTATTATTTTTAAAGTACCCTGTCATAGGGGAAAAACCAAAGAACATCTGGTTTAAAGCACCTAGCATGTCCGTGATGATATTCCTTAATCTTGCATTCTAGTACATTTAAAAGAGAAACACTGCCACATTTAATTGTCACTGGACTCTGTGTCATCCAGCTTTCTGGGAGAAGTTGTTTGCCACAGTCCCTTAACCTACACTGAACTCTCCAAGTTCCATCTGCAATTTCGATGATTTAATAATTACTGTAGCAGCACTGTCTTTGAATACACAAAGGAATTTTGATTACATTATGTGCTGCCAAATGACTAAAATAAAAGAATTTCTCAAGCTGACTTGGGTTTTCCCCCATTCGTTTTTATGTCTTTTGATGCGAGCA